TCTATTGTGATGAACTTATCCAGTTCAGCCATGAGAGATTACATCTTTCAACTACAACAAGTTGGGATCCTATACTTTTGGATCTGTTAAAGATGTAATCTCTCATGGCTGAACTGGATAAGTTCATCACAATGGATTTTACTTAGTTATCTTATTTTCTTTTATATGCATTAATAAAGCTATACTTTTGGACTTTACAATGTGTCTTCTTGACTGAGGAAGACAGGATCCTGAAGAAGAGAAGCTGAGCTAGTTGATGGTAAGAGATACAAAGTGGCTGTGGATGACAGCAGCCAGCTTGTCCTGTAGACTCTGCTGGGTGTCTAAGAGCACTACTGCAACACCCATCATCCACACACTGACAATTCCTTGGCTAGTGGAAAGTGTGGTGGATCAGAGAAGTGTCTGGCTATATACCTGTAGATCAGTGATTCCCAAACTCTGGCTTTTCAGGTGTTTTGGACTTTGGCTCCCAGAATTTTATTTATTTATTTATTTGATTTGATTTGATTTCTATGCTGCCTTTCTCCCTTGAAAGGGACCCAAGGTGGTGCACAATTATAAAAATTCTAAAAAACATATTACAATAAAACAATTAAAAACACCCCAGAATCCCAGACCATTGGCCAAGATGGCTAAGGCTTCTGGGAGGTAGTCCAAAACACTGGGAGGACCAGAGTTTAGCAATCACCATTATAGATGGAAACAAAATTATGACATCCTATGCTAAGACCTCCAGCAAATCTCAGTGGAAGATGCGTCAGTTTGCGTCTGGGTATCTGATCTTCCCCCATTCTCACAGTGATGCCCAAACTCTGGCTTTCCAGATATTTTGGATTTCAGTTTCCAGAATTCCAGACCATTGGCCAAGATGGCTGAGGCTTCTGGGAGCTGAAGTCCAAAATACCTGGAGAACCAGAGTTTACGAAACACTGGTAAGAAATGGCTTTTCAGGGAGCTATCATACATACCAAGCCCATGTTTCCTGGATGTGGTCAGTGGAAATGGTCTTCTCTTGTTCTTCCTCTCTCTTTATCTCCCAGCCTCAGACTAAACTCTCTCACAAGGGAGACTATCACATGAAGAAAAAGGATGGGAAAGAAGAAGGATGCTCCTGTCCTTAGCATGTGATTGCATGAAGATTATCACACGATATCCTGTGACATTATGCTCATCACATCCTTCTCCTGTCAATGAAGTGGAAGGGTCCTGTCACTTTTCATTAATGGGAAACTATCATTAATGAAAAGTGATGGAACCATTCCACTTCATTGATGGGAGAAGGATGGGATGAATGGGACGTTGCGGGATCTTGTGTGATAATCTTCACGCAATTGTGTGATAAGGACAGGGGCATCCCACTTCTCTCCCATCCTTTTTCTCCATGCGAGAATCTCCAATGCTGCTGTAATTCAGAGAAGTAGACCAATGAGATTACCACGCTACACTCTTATAATGCTGCTATTCTACTTTTACTGCTCTGGCTGCCTCCTGGGCCTGGGATTTGTAGTTCAGTGAGACCTAATTGCTCTCTGACTGAGAATTCGAAATGCCTTTCTCTAAACTGGAAATCCCAGAATGCCACGTAAGGAAGCCTGAGCAGTAAAAATTGAATAACAGTACTATCAGAGTGTAGTGTGGTAATCTACCAAGTCTACAAAAGCTTATGCTACAACATCTTTTGCTCAATTAGTCTGAAAGGTGCTACAAGATCCCTTTGCATGGGATTGCTGTAAAGCAGCATACAAAAGTTAAGACAAAGACAGGTAAAAGGACACTAGGGCTTGAATCCTCACTCTCATGTGGAAATCCACTGTGTGACCTTGGGCAGATCACACTCTCTCTGCTTCAGAGAAAGACAATTGCAAACCCCTGCTCCTCAGCAAGAAAAGCCCTGATAGCCTTGCCTTAGGGTTGCCATAAGTCAGAAACATCTTGAAGGGACACAAAAGCAGCAAACTGAAATATAAGTATATGAAAATGTAAATATAAATATTTACAGCCTGCATTTCTTCCAATACTTTCAAGGCAGACTCCTCCTCCTCCCCATTTTATCCTTACAACTGATATGGGACCCATCAGACTTTCTTGACTGCAGGTATTGAAGCAGAGGCTTCAATAACTCATCTGGTAGGGATGCTTTAGTTACAAGATTACCACTAAATGCAGGTTGTCTAGAGGACCTCTAAAGTCAACTTTCAAGTAAAAAATGTCAAGATTCTATTAACATCGACCCCCATCAGCTGCTGTCTATTGAAGAGGGAAGCTACTGTTTGTGCCATATATTTCTTTTCTACCACCCCAGAGCAATCACAAGCTGATCTGTCACACTAGTCTTGGTTCATTAAAAAGACAGGGTGACAAGTGTTTTCAGAAGCAGAACTAGGGAATTTTATGGCTGGATTTCAAAACTGTAAAAAGAACAAATTAACACACACATACAACAGCAAGGCTCAAAACACTGCGTGTTTCTGAAGATGTATGTGTGTGACATCTCCAAACTTGGACATTCATAGTCATTCCCCATGTTCTGCTTCCTTTCTACCCAAGGAAGTGAGAGGCAGAAAATCCAATTCAACATTAATATTTTACCTGGATTTATTAGATATTCATAGTCATATCCCAGTTCTCTTGATGATATGAAGAATTCCCCATTCCTGTAAAGGGGAATGAAGGGGACCATGTAAGATTCACGGTTGTGTCCGATAGGGGCATTGGCTGCAGGGTAAACCTCAAGTAGGGGTTGGTGTCTTCTGAGCCATTGTTCAAAAATGCTGTGAAAAGAGAAATTTTATAACAGGATCACCAATAAAAATGATGAACCCACCCAACGTAAAATGAGAAAGACCTAAAGAAGGTCCATAAAATGGTCTTCACGCAACAAAGGAAAGACAAGATGAAACCTCCTTGGAGACTAAGGGCCTTTACAGACTGCCAGAAATAATGCAGCTTGAGTCCACTTTAACTGCCCTGACTCAGTGCTAGGGAATCATGGGAACTGTAGTTTTTTCTGAGACATTGAGCCTTCTCTGTCAGAGAGCTGTGGTGCCACAATAAACTACAGTTCCCATGATTCCCTAGCACTGAGTCAGGGCAGTTAAAGTGGACTCAAGCTGCATTATTTCTGGCAGTCTGCAAAGGCCCTGAGTTCCTCAATCTCAGGGCCATCACTG